AAGGAAAAAAGAAAAAAAGAAAAAAATCAAGAAAAGAAAAAAAGGAAAGAAGGAAACGAAAATAAAACTCAATTTTTCAATGTTTTATTGACATGTGTCATATGTAATATTATTGTCAATGAACGAAGTAAATAAAAATGAACATGAAATTTAAGATTTAAGGTGTCAGTAGTGGAGGAGGGTAGAGAAGGGGTAGGGTGGGATAAGCATGTTTCAATTAAGTTTTTTTTTAATTTTTATATTTTGATTATTTTTATGAAATTAGAAATTATATTCTAAATGAAATTTTTATAAAAAAATTTAATAAACTACTTATAAATAATAAAGAAAAGCAAGATTCTTCGATACAACACAATATGCATCAATCGAATCATATTTGATGGAGAAGATTTGGAAAATGTAACAATCATTACATATCTGGGCTGCATCATTGATGAACACGATGGATCTGATGCAGATGTAAAGGTGTGGGTCAGCAAAGCAAGAGTAGCATATCTACAACTGCATAACATCTGGAACTCAAAATATCTGTCTTTTAACTAACACTAAAGTTAGAATTTCCAATATAAATATGAAGATAGTTCTACTGTATGTAGGGGAAACTTGGAGAACTACGAAAGTCACTATCCAAAAGATACAAGTGTTTATTAACAGTTGTCTACGCAAAATAATTCGGATCCGTTGGTCAGACACTATCAGCAACAACTGAATGTGGGAGAGAATAAGCCAGATTGCAACGACGGACGAAATCGGGAAGAAGAGTTGTTAGTGGATAGGATACACATTGAGGAGAGCACCCAATTGAGTCACGAGGCAATCCCTCACGTGGAATCGTTAAGGTTGAATAAAGGAGAAGTGGGAGATCAAAGAACACATTACGGTGAGAAATGGAGTTAGACATGAGAAGAATGAACAGGAATTGGATAGAACTGGAAAGGGAGGCCCAGGACAGAATAGACTGGAGAATGCTGATGGGCAGCAAGCGTAAGTAAGTGAGTAACTTATAAATAATATAACAAATTTAATGAGTGGTAAAACATTATAAGGATTATGTTCTTTTTTAGTTATTAGTAATTGAAATCTACTTCCATTCCATTATTATGAAACTTGAGAAAAAAGGCTTTGGATGGAGAAAGACGGCTTATTTCAATGAATTCCTTCTTATCGTCTGATCATGTGCTCACTAGCGACTAGTTTCGTTAGGGAATTCTCGGAGGTCTAATGAAAGCCGTGACCAATGGAGTTAATCCGTGTCAGGTAGAGACAGGTATCTACTTCAGTACAATGGAATATGGTCGCGCAATTTCGTGGATTGATTGAGGTTAGACATCCTGTCCTGGGCAATCCTTTCCATCTCTTTCCAGTTGTTATTCATCCTTTTCATACATGCTTCTATTTCTCGACGTAATGTGTTCTTTGGTCTTCCTCTTTCCCGTTTCCCCTCAAGATTTCAAGTTAGCACTTGTCTCGTGATGCAGTTTGGTGATTTCCGTAATGTCCTATCCGTTTCCATCATCTTTTCCCAATTTCCTCTTCAGCTGGAAGTTGCTTTGTTCTCTTCCACAGTGGGCTGTTGCTGATGGTATCCGGCCACTGGATGATGAGTGTCTTGCGTAGACAACTATTTATAAATACTTTTACCTTCATCTGTAGCTCTTCTAGAGTTACTGCCGATCCCAGGCCCAGGTAAAGGAGGAGGGTTTGGCGTGGGTCGGCAACCCTATCCCGTAGAAAAAGAATCTTGCTAAAGACGCCAACCAGATTAAACAAATTAATGGGAGAGAAGAAACCACATTTCAAACGAAGAAGAAATTCGGAAAAGATTATAGAGGTGGGTAGGATATATACTGGGGAAATCATCATACTGCATCACGAAGCAAGCGCTACCTTGGAATCTTGAAGGGAAATGAAAAATAGAAAGATTAAATAACATACAGGATCTGGATTTAAAAACAGACGTCAAAATAATGATTAGCTACTGGAAACAAGTGGAAAGGACTGTCGAGGACAGTGTTTCATGAAGAATACTGGTAGGTAGCCTGTGTTAATCCACCAGTGGCAACAGGCGAAAGTAAATATGATGATCAAACCATTTATTTAATTTCTGTGTATTAGACATTAAAATAGTGATATTTTAATAATGTAACTTGGATACTACCTCCAAATGGTAATCACCTGGTGATGTATCATCAATGAAAAGCTATATTACTTTGTGAATTCTTCCTAGACACAACAGAAGTTCAGTTTAATTTTGGTAACAATACAGTCTTCTTAGTCGTTTTTAAACTAATTTTTTTTCACGACAGAAAAAACGATACATCTATAGCTGATCAAGATCATGAACCGAGTGATGTTAGACCACCACTGAAAACCTGGAAGTACTGGGTGTCCGTTTCGACCTATTGAGTGACTCATCAGAAGTGCGCACCCACGATTCAGCCTGCGTGTTTCGAGCCCAGGACCTTCGGTCTTGCACGTGACCGCCTAACCAACGTAGTGGACCTCATTGAAGACATCGAAACTTGCATTCGATTAAAATACAGAGTTTCGTATTGTGGTTTATTTGATTAAGAGGTTTATGAGATAATCAAGTTAAACCAGTAAATCTGTCAACTACTCTGAAAAGAGCATTAAGTGATAGATGTCTATGTAATGATTCAATTACAAATTTGATATTTGGTCTAAGTCTGTTAGGATGATACGATAATGCCTACTAGTTAGTGATTGAATAGTACAAATCTCTATGCCCTTCACAAGACTGTTCACAGATTAAACAAGTGTCAATGAACTACTAGGTGCAAAAATTTTTTACTGACAAAAATCAACTCGTACCAATTCTGCATTTCATGATTTCTTATTGATCACCTTCTAACATTTAGCGTGGAAATATTATACACTAAAATTATGCTTCGTTCAAAACAATGAACGATAGCCATTACAAATTTCCAGTATGGTGTTATGAAGATTGTTGAGTTTTTGATTGATATCGTGAATCGGTCGATGTTAGAACACCATTGAAAACCTGGAATCACCGAACGGCCGTTTCGTTCTAGTATGGAACACCTTAGTAGTGCGCATCCACGATTCCTCATTTGAGATTTGTCGATCCCAAGAACGTTCTGACACACGAACATTTAAGCTCTATACCAATAAACCAGTATCCAATAGTGTTAATGTCAACTTCAACCAATCCATGAAATTGTGAGATCATCTACTAAGGTAGATATATGTCTCTATCCGACATAGATTAACTCCACTAGTCACAGTTTCTCACTAGAATTCTAAGAATTCCCTTTCATAACTAATCACTAGTAAGCATATAGTATAAATCTGAACTACAAAACCAAGATATGTCAGTGTCTATCTTGTTTTAATTCGGTTTATTCTTTATTCGTTTTTTGTCATCATTCATATAATGAACAAATATGAACTTAATATAAACCATAAGTCAGTCAGTCAGTCAGCTACAACGTAGGTCCAGGCACATATACGCATCGGTCCAAGTTGCCGTACCTCACTAGCACAACAAGATGGATACCGGATTCAGACAAGTAGCTAACGCAGAGGTGGTAATATATAAAATAAAGATTTCAATAAGGATATAGTGCAGGGAGAAAGAAGCAACCGAGCTATACTGGCTGGAACAACCGTTCCTCAAGGTCCTACCATGTCAGACAGGTCGGTTGAAGAGCGGTAAGACTAAAAACAACAAACCTAAGGTTCGAAGGCGAAGTCGTACTGCTGACTGTACAGAGGTGTGACAGCAGTAAGGTGTTTCCTTCAGAAAACCAGCATGACAGCGATGCTGCCTTCCCACAAGGAGGGGTGGGTTAGAAAAAGTCGACCCTAAAAATGCACACCTCACCTTATCCCACGGATATCCGTCTCCGGTGCTAAGGTCTCAACAAGCGCGGAGCTAACACGAAAATTGCCCATAAAAAAGGTCGTGTGTGACCGACCTCAAGCAGTTGTCCCTTGGGCACTGCGGTCACGCTCTCAGGTCACTAGATCACCTCTAATCCAATTTCCTTTTTAGGCACCTCCATAAACCATAAGTAGTCGACATTGAATGGAAGAAATGGAAATACATTACATAACATTCACTATATTATTGTCATGAAATGTCATATTACATCATCTTCAACGTTATTACTTCTTCTCCTTCTTCTTGTTCATTGAAGCACATGTGATGATTTAATTAAACAAATAGACAGTTCATATTCATAGATAAAATAGCATTGAAAGCAAACTATAAATCAACTTGAATATGAAAGATTATATAATCAAATAGGTTTAATGAAATGAAAGCAAATAAGACACATAAAGTGTGTGTGTGTATATGTGAATGTGTGAGGAGGTGGGGGTGGGCTGGGGTGGGGTAGGGTGGTGTGGTAGAAATACAAAATGCTGATAATTACATTTGTTATTATTATCAAATTCAAGATAGAAACATTATGAAATAGTAAAAAACAACGAGAAGAAAAAAAGAAAAGAAAAGCACATGGTGCACTATTGAATGAAGGGGGTTATGTTATTTTTTTTATTAGAAGATATGGTCAGTGACCATATGAATGACTGATGAGAATCATAACCATGGTGATGATGATGATGATGTTGATGAGGATGATGAGGATGAAGCGGAAGGCAATAGTGATGACGTCATACAATTGATGAATATATTACTTAAAAGAAATATAATCAACTGATTAAATGTCTATAATTTGATAAGCACAAAAACTGTATTAGCTAACTAAGCATTAAAGTATAGATTTAGTCATAAAATGCATTAGCATACATTGCTTAGTTTATTATGTAAGAGATAAACAAGCAAACTTGATTGTGTTGAATACTTTCTATTGTATACTTGTCTTATAATCAACTGATCAGACATTTTATTGACACTCATAGAACATTCCATGCTGTTGTTGAAGTTTCTATTATTTGCTATTCTATTCCGTTTCTTTTTTGGCAGGGGGGTGGGATGGGTAGGGATGGGTTCTTCATTCATTTTCACTACCAGTTATAATATTGTAGGAAGCTGTAAAGGAAAAGAAAAAACAAACAAAAACATAAATAAAAACGAGTTAAGAGATCATTATGATCATTATGGATGCACACTGCTGGGACTCTCACAATATGATAAAACGGCCGTCCAGTGCTTCCAGGTTTTCAGTGGTGGTCTGACATCAATCGGTTCATGATCTCAATCAATAAATTAATAATCTCCACAACCCTATATTGACATTATGAAAATGTTTATTGTTCAAATAAGATATAAATAATGTCAGTATAGGATCGTACAGTTCAATAGTAAGATGAAATAGTCATCCAGTGTGTTATCTCCAGACGAAGAATCAATGAATAGTAACTGCTAGGATCTATTTATGGACTAATATGATATGAATATTCTTATTGTATGACCATTAAGTAACTAGATTATATGTATATTTATATTCCTTTTATTATAAGCTCCCAATTGATCTAATAGCTACTGTTATTCGACTTACTATTCCTAAGTTACTCCCAATTTATTAGTTACAGTTCCTCACACTCACAGACACTTTTGACCTGATCTTGCATAATGTTTGGTTTCAATTTATGGTATGATGCAGTCTGGTTTGTTTGTATATAAACCAGTTATGCCTGGAATACAGGATTCATATAACGGGGGTTAATATTGGTGTTTTGGACTAATCCGGATGGGTTAGACGAGAATCTACTATCTCACAGGACCAATATGAACACAGAGTTGACTGTAGGTTGCTCGTACTAGATGACGCATCGTTAGTTTAACACAGGGATATGGTCATTTAAATCAATGTTCTGATTGGTGTGATACTTGACAGGGATTCGGATGTAACATATAGACATTTTTAAAGTAAAATAAAGACAATATCACGTATATTAACAGAGAAAGCTTCATTTAAACTAACTATACTTTGATCAATCATTATGTAACACCATCAGGTACAATTCAAGATGATTGATTGCTTTCACCCGGTTACAGTAGATATACCGAATGAGCGATATAAATATATTATGTGTAATGTATTTTCAGTTTATTATTCATCGAAGTTTCAGAGTATATTAGTAAAAGAAAAAAAACTTAGTATTATTGGCTTGTATTTTACCATTGTTGTTCAGGACTGCGATTGATCAGTCTCTTGTTGGCAAATGTAGATCCTTATCAGAAGGGGTTTGTGGAGATTTGTAGAAATTTTCACAGATAGAAATCATGAGTCAGTTGAAGCTAGACCACCACTGAAACCTGGAAGCACTGGACGGCCGTTTCGTCCTAGTATGGGACTCCTCAGCAGTGCGCATCCACGATCCCGCATCGCGATGCCGGCTCAGTGGTCTAATGGTTAAGTGCTCGCGCGCGAAGCCAGTAGGTCCTGGGTTCGAGCACCGCGTGGCGCGGGATCGTGGATGCGCACTGCTGAGGAGTCCCATACTAGGACGAAACGGCCGTCCAGTGCTTCCAGGTTTTCAGTGGTGGTCTAGCTTCAACTGACTCATGATTTCTATCTGTGAAAATGTAGATCCTGTCTGGATTGCCTCGATATTACCTTAGGTAAATTTAAACTTCACCTCATTACACAAGCAGGTGGTTACCAGGACTCAGTAGCTTAGTGGATGTTGCGATGGCGTTTGAAGCGAACGGTATTGGGTTCGAGTCCTGGATTGAACATCAACTACAGGTATGAGGGTATATACAGTTGACGAGTCCCAAATAGGACGGAACGCGCATCCTGAATTCTACTACATCTTTGCTTATAAAACTTAGTGGTTTGTTATAATGAAGTGGATCTTAGCGTATATTCATTAGCCTATACAGAATATAATCTAGAATTTTCCATTATCTCAATGAGATTTATTTAAACGAAGGCGATATTCTCGAATATTTGAGTTACCTGTTCTTGTCATCAATATAGTTCAACAAGTTCTCTGCTTCCCTATTTGTTTTAACACATCATTATATCAGTGAATTACATAATCTATTCAGGTGCGTTTGTCAAAAATGTAGAACCTTTCATTGTACAAGTTACAAAAGGCCCAACCATAGATATCGTGGTTGCTGGTAATATACAACGAAAAGAATGAAGATTATACAGACATCGATTCCTGAACAGTTAACATCTAACTGCCGATTACTCTGTACGTTATCGTTAGGATTGATCAAGAAGTAAGAAACCGGAGTTCTATGAAATTCTTTATGCTGAGTATTTTATATTGTGCCAAAAGAAATAATATTGAATAAAGCCACTAATAATAATGTTGTGTTCTCCAAGGTCTTCAATTCTGATCCTACATTTGACTTCGAGTTAGGTTGGATATCTAACCTACGCAGGAGTTTTCAAATAGGTTAAATTAATCATTCAATGCTTACTTACTTTGTAAACAAGAATATTTCATTGAAGTTGTTAATAAGACAAACTAAAAAATAACTTAATATCATGAATGAATCGATGTTAGTGAGAAACCATGGTCACTAGAGTTCAACTTTGTCTGGCTTGAGACAATTGCTCACTGAAGATAATGGTGTACGGTCGGCGCAATATCGTGGATTAATGGATATTAGACATTAACAACGTTGGATACCGGCTCATTCGTCTGAAGGTTAAGCATTCGTGTTTGAGACCGAAAGTTCTGTGTTCGAATCCCACGTGAAGGATCGTGGATACTTCCTGCTGAAGAGTTTCATACTATGATATAATAGACATCCCATGCTTCCAGATTTTTAATAGTAGTCTCACATCTATCCATTCATGATATCAATTTCATCTCAACAAACTCCATATAACGATCCTTTTTAAAGTCATATGCTAATTCGATAAAGAACATAAAGACTATGATTCTCCTTTTAGAAAAAAACAGAACATATGACGTAATGATTCTATGAAATAATGATTTATTAGCCAAGTTTCTTTTTTGTCCTAACGTGATATAATGGAAAGATGAAAATTACCAAAGTACACGATAGTGTAACTCATTTGTTTCCATGTTGAATCAAATTAACCATGATTAAAGTTGTAAAAACAAAAATAAGAATGGAATATTAGATATTTGAATCAGGAGCAGAAAAGATTATGTCGTCAGATATAAATTTATTAGGCTATTTCACTTACATACTTGCTTAGTTACTTACGTCTGTTACTCTCAATCAGGCATAGGCTGACGAATAGAATTCGATCAATAACTCTGTTCTGAGCATTCCTTTCCAGTTCTATCCAATTGTTGTTCATTCTTCTCATGTCTGTCTCAATTTCTCGGCGTAATGTGTTCTTTGATCTCCCACTTCTCCTTTATTCAACCTTGATGATTCCAAGTGAGGGATTGCCTTGTGACTCAATTGGGTACTTTTCTCAATGTGTATCTTATCCACTAACAACTCTTCTTCCCGATTTCTTCCTCCTCTGAAATCTGGCTAGTTCTTTCCCAAAGTAGATTGTTACTGATAGTGTCTGACCAACGGATCCGAAGTATTTTGCGTAGACAACTGTTAATAAACACTTGTATCTTCTGAATGATGACTTTCGTATTTCTGCAAGTTTCTGCTCAATACAGTAGAATTATCTTCACATTTATATTGAAAATTCTGACCTTGGTGTTGGTTGACAGACAGATATTTTGAGTTTCAGATATTCTTCAATTGTAGATATGCTGCTCTTGCTTTTCCAATCCACACCTTCACATCTTCATCCAATCCACCGTGTTCATTAACGATGCTGCTCAGATATCTGATGATTGTTACATTTTCCAAATCTTCTCCATCAAGTGTGATTTGATTGATGCAAGTTGTGTTGTATCGGAGAATCCTGCTTTTCCCTTTGTGTATGTTGAGACCTACTGATACTGAGGCTACTGATACACTGTTCTTCTTCTCCTGTATTTGTAGTTCCGTGTGTGAAAGAACAGCCAGATCATCTGCGAAGTCTAGATCATTCAGCTGCATCCTAGTTGTCCACTATATCCCGTACTTCCCTCCCCCAGATATTGACGTCTCCATGATCCAATCGATCACCCGGAGAACGAGACTGGGTGAGAGTAAGCAACCTTGCCTGACAACGGTCTTTACTTCGAACTAGTCTGTGAGCTGTCCTCCATGCACGATTTTGCAGTTTATTCTATTATAGGAATTCGGTATGATGTTGACTATATTCTCAAGCCGTTTTAGTGACCCATTATTTTGACGGCAATTAGATCAGACGATGTTATCGATGGGCTTACTACTTTTGTAGCCCTGTATTTGACTGCAATTAGATTGTAGGAATGATTTTATCGAAATAATTGCTGTCGAAATATACACCATGACTATGCTCAATCAACGACTTAAATCATGTTCATGAATAACGTAATTAAATAAGTCAAATACGAGAATAAATTTCAAATACGTGTATTGTATTTAGTCGTTAATTCAGACAAAGGACCGAAGAAACAAGCGAAGCGAAGAGAGCAAAGTGAAATGACGTACAGTAGAGAAGACATGTAAGCCAGTTCCATTTAATCAAGCGTTAATCTTTATTTATAGTCATACAAATATAAGTTACAGACATGTGATAAGAAGTAGGATAAGAAGTGAACACACGCTTTTTTACTACTTACGCCTGTTACTCTTCGTGGAGGAGCATAGGTCACCCACCAGCACATACACACACATACGCTTATGTAAAAACAGTCAAAGTTGATAAGCGATTAATTAACAGGCTAGAATAAGCTATATGGGCTTGCATAGCACTACACCATATTATTACTATTATTATTATTATTAAATTACTGTAATGATTATGTAACTCATTCTAATTAGCTGATTAGTCTTTGTATAGTGTAACTAATTTTAATCAGTAAGATCATTCTAGTTAATGACAATTTGTTAATGAGCAAGTTTAGTAGAGCTTATTGCGTAATGAAGAAGTCTCTATCCTTCTAGCTGAGGAGGAAATCAGGAAAAGACATTGGAAGTGGATAGGATATACATTACGGAAATCATCAAACTGCATGATGGGTCAAGCCCTAACTTGGAATCCTGAAAAAAGA